ACAACATCCGTATCATTTCTCAATTTACAGAAGGAAATTCAGTACTCAAGGAAACAAAATGGACCTGCAGCATTTATAGGGAGCCACCTGTGTGCTAAGGATACAGGGAGTATGTGCGAGAGCTGCCTGTGGCGGGTGAGCCCTGGGGAGGCACCACTAGGTTAAAGAATAATGATTATTTCAACTTGGAAAGGAGTGCAGAGGGAGGACTTCACAAAGTCTTTCCATAGTTTAGTCAGTTTTTCTAAAAGTTTGTGATTGAGAGCTAATGAAAATAATGCAAAGGCCCTGGCTCATTGAAGGAGGCTAGGACCTGGACCTCAGCATTTTTATCAAACTTCCCAGGTGGTTCTGATTCAGAGCAGAGAGAGAGAGAGAGAGAGAGAGAGAGAGAGAGAGAGACAGAATAGATATCATACTAGCTCCTTGCTTATGTACTAAGGCAAATAACTAAAGATTATAGCATGAAGCACTTGGATTAGATAAAAAAGCAAAAGCGGAAATGTAGGAAGACGTTCGTACCCATTGAAATGGCTTGCTTGGGAATAGTATAAAGCAGTGTGTATCAGCATTACTTGAAAGGCTACTTAAAACACGGATGCAGACTTTGTAATTTACTAGGTCTGGGGTGAGGCCCTGGGATTTGCATTTGTAACAAGTTTCCAGGTGCTGCTGCTGCTGCTAGTCCAGAAGCTATACCCCGAGACCATTGGTGTAGACAAGCGCATTGGTTCTAAATCCTGGCTGCACACTAGAATCATCATCTGGGATGAGTTTTTAAATTATCATCGATGCTGGGGCCTCACCCACAAGAGATTCTAATATAACAGAATTTCAGTGGAGCCTGGGCATGGGTAGTTGTAAATCCCCCACTCCAGGTGTTTCTAATATGCAGTCGGAGTTGCGAACCACTGGGGTTAAGGCTTCTAGAAAACTGGGGAAGGAGTCCAGAGCAGGAGAGTCACATTCAGTACTGGGTTATCAGGTTTAATCACATTCGTCTGAGTCTCCTTTAGCTGACGCGGTGCACTAAACTACCTTTCTAACATCCTTTCCCCACTCAGAATTGTTACTCTGCCTAGGAGGCTTTTAAAATGCATCTCCATGTTACACACTTAAAACAGCAGTATCTAGAAGACAGTTGATTTTTCCTTTCAGCAATGCTGCCCTCTAGTGTTCTTAATTATTCAAATCATGTAAAAACCCACCTCAGCCATCAGTATGGTTCTTTCCTGTTAGTAAGCTAAACAAATTTTTCTCTGAAATAGAATTAAATTTTAATTCATGGCAACATGAATCTCCAAAACTGCAGCCTCTTGGTTCTCCTGAAATTTCTCCCTAGTTTTGATGTTGCAGCCTCCTTCCAGGACAAGAACTCACAGAGTTCTCTTTTCCCAATTCCACCAAGCTTTTCTCTTCAGAGTCAAAAGCTAAACAGTGAGGAAAAAACTAGCAGGAACAAAAAGACCTGGCCATTGGAGTGCCTTGCACAGGCTCTCCTCACGTTTTTCTCATTTCTCCTACACATCTCACGCCTCCTTGTACACTTGGTTCACAGTTTATTGAGACTAGAATTCATCAAACAGGTGCTCCCATGTCTTCCCATGATGAGTTCTACAAACCTCCCTGGGTCCCATCATCTTGACAGAAGTGTCCTTCCCACCTATGGGGGCTCTGCCCCTCCTCCCTCTCCCTTTATCAAGTCTCCCTCTTCCTTCCCAGCCCCCAGTCTATTTCATCAATAACTCCCTCTTCCTAGGTCACTCCAAATGGCACACACGCTTACTCTTAATGTCCTGTGACTCTGAATGTCCCGTCAGCTCGTGTCCTGTTTCTCTTCCAAATGTATTGAATTCATTGTCTTTAAGGCCTCTCCTTCTTCCACTCATTCTTCCACTGAGTGGCTCCAATGGCTCCAGCCTTGCTTGATCCCATCACATCACTGACACTGAAGCTGCTCTTCTCACGGTCCGCAGTGATCTCCCTACGTGTGTCCAAATCCTGTGGATACTGTTTGGGGCTGTTCTGACATGAATGTCCACGGCATTCCACCCTGTGGGCACAGCTCCCTCTTGAAGTGCCCTCTGCTCTTGGTCTGACACATCCCTGTGTGCCAGCTTCCTTCCTGCCCCTCTGGCTGGCCCTTCCTACCCAGCATCCTGCATGGGTCCTGTCTCTAACCCCTGGGCTGGCCATCAGAACCTCTTCTCTTTTCTCTCTATAGACTTTCCTTACGAGGCTCATCCATTTTCATGAATTTAAATATGATCAATAGACTGGTAACTAATAAATGTATATACCACCTCCGGCCCAGATTGTTCAGTGTCTTATTTATCCAACTATTAAATATCCGCTCAACATCTCCCCTTTTATATCTCACATGCATCTCCATTTTTCGCATGTCCGAAGAAGAACCCTTGATTTTTCTCCCAAACATGTTCCTCCTTGAGTCTCCTTTATCTCTGTAAACAACCAGATATCTGGGAAACAGCTTTAATTCCTCCCTTTCCCTCACCACACCCCATCTATCTGTAAGTATTGTGGATTCTGCCTTCAACTTATATTTTGAATATATCCACCTCTCTCTCTGTTTGCCACCACCACCCTATTACAAATCACCCTCATCTCCTGCCTAGAATACAGCAATACCTTCCTCAAGCTTTTCCTACTTCCTCCAGTCCTCCCTGTTACTAATGATTCTCCACAGCATAGAGACAGTGTTCTGAAATGCAAACTCTATTCTACCATCCCCTTACCTGATAAAATGTTAATGGCATCATTAAACCTTGAATAACATACAAATGACATGGTTTGCCCTCTGCCAACTTTATCTTGCACCCCCATCCTCCTTCCCTCCCATTGCTGGGACTCGCTAAGCTCTGTCCTTCCTCAGGGCCTTGGCACATACTATACCATCTTCCTCGAATGCTTTTCCACTGTTCTTCACATGGATGGCTCCTGTTTGCTTTTTTATGCCTAAACATGATTGCGCTTTAGTGAGACCTTCCTTACTCCACTAAATATGTCTTCTCTTTCATTTCCTGTCCCAGTCCCCTATGTTATTTTCTTTATAACACTTTACATTTTATAATGACTTACTTATTTACCTCTCTGTCTCTCCCACTCAACTTGAAACTCTCTGAGTCCAGGAAGTTTGTGTCTGTTTTACTCACAGATGAACCCAGCAACCAGCACAGTGACTGGCAAATATTAAGCTTGTAATACCTGTGTGTTGTATAATTGAATGAGTGCGCACGAAGAGTCACAACTTCCACTCCATCTTCACTGCTCTTGTCAAGGACTCCCAACTGCCCAAGCCACCTGTCAGCACTCTGTACCTGTCTTACTTGATGGCGGAGACAGAGTTAAGGGAGAGGCCAGGTCCAGTTTATTTTCTGTTAACTTCTTCTATGTTTACCAGCATGTTTGATTCACCACAATATCTCCAGCACCCAGGACAGCAGACACCTAATAGATACTGTTGATTGACTGAACTCCCAGCTCTGAATGACACAGGATGTGAAGGGAAAGGGAGCTGGTGCAGTGATGGAGACATCCAAAGAGAAAATTCATCTGGGGCAGAGATTCATATCATTGTTTTCAACTTTTAGAAATGTTTATCATAGGCACGCATCTCCATTTGTACAGTAAAAGAGAAGAAAAGCGGTTCCTTACACGTTTTTAATCATATGTTTTATAAATGGAGAATGAACTTCATAGTTTTAGTTGCTGGGCAATAATTTGATATTCTAGAGTCTTTCTCCAAGAAAGAAAACGTTTGCTTATAAAGCCAGCTTTTATCTCTGTTGGACACACAATGGTGAATGAAAGCATTCCCATCTTCCAAACAAAGAAATCAAGGGCGATTAAAAATAATTTACACAAGCCAAACAAGCAAAGAAGCTAAGACTCTAACTCTGGCCATTTCATTCAAATCCTGTTCCCTATCGATTTAGACAGTGCCTGCTCATGAGAAATAATAATAATAAAAAAGAATACATCTACTGCAACTCTACTTTGAGACAAGGATTTGGTTCTTTTGAAGGGCATTTAACTGACTGGTATTACTGAGAAATAGAAAAGCCCAAGGCACGTGACTATTTGAAAATGTTGAGTGACCTGGCATCCTGAGTGTTTAACTGACCTGCTTTGAGGAAGAAATCCAACCCTGTCTGTAAATTTTAACTAAATTAAACTGAGGGTCTCCACGCTCTCTTGTTCCGCAACACATCTGGCTGGTGCCAAGAGGATTTGCTCAGCTCCATCCTCTGGGGAAGGGATTCATTTTCCTGTTTAGGAAATGCGATGTTCAGCTGCATGAGGCTGATGAGCACACCGGGTGGGACCACAAACAGGCCCCAATGAAATCAATTATGTGGGTGTCTTAGGACAAAATTTGGTTCAAAGTGATCAAGGACAGGGTGTGTCATTGCAAGCTGTGAGCCACTGTGGCTTCAGCTGTTTGTTCAGCATTTAATATGTTTATCTTTCTGCTAAACACATTGTCGCTGAGTCACCTCTCTAAGAGACCCATTCTGTGTGCGGCCATGCTCTGCAAGTCCAATATACAGAGACAGGCCTTTCACCCTCAGTGACCTCACATTCTGCAAAGTCAAAGCAGATACCTTCTCTTACTTCTCACTTTAGTGAGGAAGGTACCCAGGCTCTTAAAAAGGTGAATCGTGTATTCTTTATTAGGCCAGGAATCATCAAGCAATAAAAGTAAAGGAAGAACTTAAAGTGGTCATTATATTTTCAATACCATTTAGTGTTGTTGCTGCAAATGGAAAATGGAATGTCAGTTTACCTAAAAGTACCATCAGCCTCCAAACCATCAATATTTCGTGTCAGACAATAATGTTGTCACCAATATTAGACTAATTTTATTAATCAAACAAATAACTGCATTAAGCTTCTAGGCTTTGGCTAGAGGGGTAAAAATCACATATCTTTGAAAAGTAGATGAATTCATGAAATGTTGTCTGTTTGACTTTCCATAGAAATTGTCCGAGCCATGACACATGTGATAAACCAAGGCATGGCGATGTACTGGGGCACCTCGAGGTGGAGTGCTATGGAGATAATGGTAATTTAATTTCTATTTTTAAATGGTTATTGAGTACCTTATTATTGCTTTTCAGATGCCATGCATAAATTGCAAGATCTTTTGCAAACTTTTCTCATAATCACTATGGTACTGGAATTCTAGAACCAATTCCATCATTATAGAGATGGATATTGGAGCCGGAGCTCATCCATTCAGAATACAACAGAGAATACAGTGTTCCCTGGTGGCAAGAGGGCAAAGTGAATTTCACAGCTATGGAGATATATTAACAGAGTATTCTAGTTTTCTTATAAAAAACTGTATTAACTACATTGTTTATACCAAGCTAGTTAAAGATACTTTTATATGTTAGTCTAAGTCTTATTTCTTTAGGAACTTAAAAATAGTTAAACTACATTTTCTTTATCATAGTGTATAATTCACACTTTGACTAATTTGCCCTGGACTTAATCCAAACCCTCCCAAAAAATTAATAAGGGTTTCCTACATTTCATATTGCTCTTAGTGAAATTGGTGGTGACAAATTTGCTTATTATTTGGCATCCTACATGTTTCTTGGTTTGTACTGATTTCACCAAAGTAAACATTTCTCATGCATACAAATTACAGTGAAGCCTCATTTCTCATCAGTATAAATTCAGTTGTAATCTCATTCCTCCCTAGGAAGCCTATTCTGTAGCAAGACAGTTCAATATGATCCCACCAGTCTGTGAACAAGCTGAGTACCATCTTTTCCAGAGAGAGAAAGTGGAGGTCCAGCTGCCAGAGCTCTACCACAAAATAGGTAATCTTCAGAATAAAAGCTACTGGGTATTTTTAACAAGAGAAAGATCACTGATTCGGGGGGGGGGGGAAGAAGTAAAAACAGTGTTACTGAAATGCTTTCCTAAATGTCCCTAATTAACACAGACATTGTAAGAACCATGCATTCCAGAGATTGTAGCAGAATCAAAATGTAGCAGAATCTGCACCTAGTCTACAAGGTATCACTGATGAAAGCCAAGCAGAGTTGTAAATTGTGACTAGTGTTTCAGCTGTACTCAGCAGGTGTTCAAAAAAATGCATACTGAATAAAGGGAACAACCAATGAATAAATTCATTTTTCATTGGTGCTTGCTCGAGTAAACAATGACTACCTTTCAAAAATATCGTGGATATATACATCTGTATCTACTACCCTAGCCCTGGCACTGAGTGAGAATTGGGAAATTCAACAACTACTAAGTCGGGCACTATCACTTTGTGTAGGTAGAACTAATGCCTTCAGAGAGAGGGGAGAAATACATATATAACATGTACCCAGGAAATTTAGACATTAGGAAAAGATGAATAAGCCACATTTTCAGCCTTATTTATCAAAAGTTTCCAGAGATAATTTTCTTCCTAAAAATTAGAGGTTCATATGAGCAGGAAAATTCTGGGAAAAGGAGATAAAGATAAAAATTCAACAACAACAATTGTTATTATTGCTCTCACTTATTGAGTGCTTGCTGTGTACCAGGTGTGTGCTCCTGCTGCGTACCAGGCACTATGTTAGGCACTCAATGGACAACAAAAATTCATGGATAAGCCACATTTTTCAGCCACATTTTTCAGGCTTTCCCAAGAACTGACAGTCCATGTTTAATTGGTTGATGAAAGAATGAAACACAATTTGTAAGCTCCTAAATTGTAATGGAAAAAATGCATGCCGATATTAACTCATTTATCTGGACAGCTTTTCCCGATAACCTACCAAATTCTATTTAAACACCACCATCCCTCCCCCTCCCCCACAACTTTTGATCCCAATTTGCACAAGCAGCTTTCTCAGTTTTTTCTTCTGTAGGGGTTGGTGCAATGACGTGGTCTCCACTTGCCTGTGGAATCATCTCAGGAAAATACGGAAATGGGGTGCCTGAAAGTTCCAGGGCTTCACTGAAGGTATTTTTCTCAATGTCTAGAAAAAAGCCTCGGGCTAGGAAGGAGGGAAGATCGATAAGAACAGCTCTGCAACAGCCTAGGGCTTCCCAGCTCAGGCAGACTGTGTTGTCCGGGCCAGTGGCCTCTGGCAGGTTCCTCTGAGCCTTCTGGAGGTTTCGGCGCCTGGCCATGTATCAGTCAGCCCTTCGTAATCTGCCTGCGTCGAATGCGTCGAATATTCTCTTCCTCTGGGGACTGGGGAAAAAGTGCCCAATGACCTGATTGGACTTGCAGGGCTCAAATTCCTACATTGTTATTTGCTCATATGTTAAAGAAAACATTCCATCATTTGAAACTGATAAAATGTAACTTACAAAATAAAATGTAAGCCATAGAGGCTTAATCCATATAAGGCCAACAGTTGTAGCTGAGTATGTTTGACACTTTTTAGTGTGTGTTGGGGGCAGTGGGTTAGAAGGGGAGACTTCAGGAGACAGATACATAGCACAGCTTCTGTCACTTAAAGCAGTTTAAATTCTGCTCTGAAGCAAAAAGATATTCAAGATCATCGACACAAAATTACCTCCATTCAGGACATCTTGATGACTAATTTATTGAAGAGTACTCCAAACATCTCTCCTTATTAATAACAACATGCCTGTTTTTAAAAACTTGAGAGAATGTGTAATAACATTAGAATCACAAATTACTCTGTATTGTCAAGGGAGAGAAAATACAGGCATTTAAAGAAATCAGATAAACCAGAGTCCTTCTAAGAGGAAGTATAAGCCTTACGCAACCTCTTGCCTCCATCAGCGCTAAATTATTGGGAAAACAGCTCAAGTCAAGTCTGAACCACCAATCCTTTAATCACTGTGGCTGTGGCCACCATGAGCTTCCCTAATCAGAATATTTTCAAGGCTCTAGGCCTTTGACTTTCCTTTCTGTGTGTAACAGTTGAGATTTTGCTTGTTTGTTCTCTAAAATAATACAACATAAATATCTCCTAAAGCACGATGACATGGTCCTATTTCTAGTTTTGTATTATTACAAAAAACAATTATCCCAGAATATTAAATAAGGTCTCTCTTCTAAAAATTAAAGATTGTTCTGAAACAAGTCTAACAAGTCAACAAAGACAGACTAAAAGCATCTTAGGAAAGAAGTGTAAAAAGAGGAAGGCAAGAAGGGAGTGAAGAAGGAAGGAATTGGAAGAAGGGAAGCACTGATAATTACAATTTTACTGAATACCTACTATGTGCCAAGCACTGAGCTAAGTGTTTTCATTCAACAACTTTTATTCTCACAAACAGAATGGATACAGGTGACTTTTAGTCAGTTGAGCTAAGCATGGTGTCACATGTTCTTTCAGAGGCTTGCTGACAAATTCCAAGCATTTCTATATAGGCTGAGTGTTTGTTCTCACAATAACCTGCTGAGAGGCAGACCCTTTTCAGATGCAGAAACTAAAACACGAAGACCTTAAATAACAATCCAAGACCATAAACTCATAACAGAAAATGCTGATATTAGAACCCAGGTCTGGCTTTCAGTTAATTATCTCCCTCAAAGACATCTTTATTTGTCTTTAAACCCAGGTTTTTAAAGGAGAAAAAAGTAGCTATGCTGTATTTGGAGTGCATGATTGTCTAACCTTCATCACTGAGAAAAGCTTGCAAACAGCTGAAAAAGCTTTCACAAATTCACTAGTGAAAGGAAAAAGAAAAAAAAAAAAAAGAAAGAGTAACAAATGTTTGAAGGTGGCTAAGCCCAAAAGCAGCTTGGGAAATATTTCTATTGCTGACTTTTATAAAGTCAACTCTGTATCTACTGGAACATCCTTAATAATAAACATTAAGAGCTCTCAATAGATGAAAGGTGGCTGATGACAAAGTATGCTTCTTTAGAGCTCTGCAGACTCTCAAGGCTCTACATTATCAGCCTGAGTGCTTTCGGAGTAATGTATGTGCACTTAGGAAAGTCACTTGAGTATAGTTTCCAGAGCAAAAAAATAAAAAATAAAAAGTAAAGGAGGCAAGTATCAGAGCAACCTTAGGAGTGAATGAGGATACCATGAAAGAAAGAAAGAGAAAGAGAAAAGGAAGGAGGGAGGGAGGGAGGGAGGGAGGGAGGGAAGGAAGGAAGGAAGGAAGGAAGGAAGGAAGGAAGGAAGGAAGGAAGGAAGGAAGGAAGGAAGGAAGGAAGGAAGGAAGGAAGGAAAGTAAGTTAAATTAAAAGATAGATATCTGGGCAAGTAGATAAATAAATTGGTAACATTCATCTCACCCTAAAAGAGAATAAGTAGTTTGTGTTTCACATTGGCTATTGTTATACTAATAAGATTAAGATGTTAATATTTTGCATCTGTTGTAGTATTGAACTGCAGTTGAAGGATAAATTAAATCAGCATAAAAAATACCTATCTAGAGCTCTTTTAGAAGGTAATACTACTTTTTCTGGATTTTCTGGGCCCCCTCATCTGGCCCCACTACTCTAACAATGATTTCTAAATTTGTGTTATCAGCTCTGACTTCACTGCTGAACTGCACAGCACTCCTTCTTTGTGTCTATTAGACATCTCCAAGTAGAAGTCCCATGGGCATCAGTCATGCCTAATGGAATCTGTCCTCACCCCCAGAACCTGCCATTCCTTCTTGCTTAACAGTGCCTCCACCCATCCATCTGGTTATCTTGGTCAGAAGCCAAGGCATTATCTCAGACTGCCTCCTTTCCTTCCTTATTCCTGTTCAACAAGGCACCAAATCCTCCAGACTCTATCTTGACTCTAAGATCCATCTTGTGCACAGCCCTTGTTTAGATCTTCATCATTTCTTGTCAGATTTACTATAGTAGCCTCCCATCTGGCCTCTGATTTCCTTCCCTTTCCTCAACAACCCACCATTGTGACCACTGAATCTTTTAAAAATGTTAATCTGACCATATCGTAACTCTGCTTAAAATCCTCTAATGATTTCCCAATCATTGCTTATAGGACAAAGCCATAACTCCGCAATAAAGCATTCAAGGAAACTCCCTTGGGATCTAAGTTGAGCCTATTTTTTCATTTGTGTCTCCCATATCATACTACTTCATTTTCCATGCAAATGCACTGTACTCTCCTTTGCCTCCCAGAAATGTCCTTCTTTTCATTCTCCTGTGGAACCCCTTCTTATTGTTAAAGGCAAAGCTTGGTTGTCTTCTCTATGAAGACTGTCCTAACTTTCCAAAAATGAGCTATTTGTACCTTCTCTATTATTCCATGAACGCTTCTTACAGAGTCTTCTAATTCTCTGGTTGCAAGTAACAAAACTCAATGAAAACTAATCTGATCAGAGAATGGGGACTCTATTGGTTCACAAAGACATCCTTGGGAAATATGGAGTGGCCTCAGCAATGACTCCATCCATGAACTCGTACATTGTCAGGATTTTCCATCTTCTCTAGTTCTCTCTGCTTGTCGGTGTCATTTTCTTATACTACAAATGGGTCTCCTCCATGACACCAGGAGCAGGAAAACTGGTGGTTGCGGGTTTGCATTTCTAAAGGCATGTAACCTAAGATAAAAGCGATCTTTTCTTTACCAACTTCAGTCCAGAGAAGACTGGCCAAGCTTAGGTCATGTGCCACCCTGTGAGACCAATGACAGTGGCTAAAAGGGTAAGGTACTATGATCAGCTCAGGTTATGCACCACTTCATCATGGCATTTCCCATTAGGAGGCAGTAAAGACATAGCTTGTAAGGAAATCATTGACAAGAGTGGAACCCCAACAAAAAAACACTTCCCATGTTACTAAGTAATGATTTGTGAATACATCTAGGACAGAAACTGAAACCTTCTCATCTGACCCATCACAGAGCCTGATGAGTACATAAGAGGTACTTAAGCCTTTGTTAATTTGATGAGCCATAACCAAATCAATAAAGTCTGATCAAGAGACCAGGTGTACAGCTTTTAAATAGAAATAAATAGTGCAATAAAATGTATTGGCAGCTCCTCCCTGTTCTTGGCAAAATGCTTTCTAGAAAAATTTAGGCCAGGTATGGTGGCTCATATCTATAATCCTAGCACTTTGGGAGGTGGAGGTGGGCAGATCACTTGAGCCAAGGAGTTTGAGACCAGCCTGGGCAAAATGGCGAAACCCTATCTCTACAAAAATACAAAAAATTAGCTAGATATCATGCTCACCTGCAGTCCCAAATACTCAGGAGGCTGAGGTGAGAGGATCACCTGAGCCTGGGAGATCAAGGCTGCAGTGAGCTGAGATCATGCCACTTCCCTCCAACCTGAGCAGTATAGTGAGATCCTTTCTAAAAAAAAAAAAAAAAAATACAAAAGTATGTACCCCTCTGTCAAAAAAAAATAAGAAGCATGCACACCTTGATGAATCAAAGTTGGGGGAGACAGGTGGTCCAAGTACGTCAAGTGCTCATATAAAGAAACAAAGCATATTGTACATTATGGCAAAATTTCAGAAGGCAAGTTTTCAGCTCTAGCATTTTACCTAGAGATCTCAACCTCAATAGTGACTTTGCTTTTGTTTTGAGTCAAAGCCTTTGATGTTTAAGTAGAAATAGTCAGCGATCTTGGGTGTTAAATTATTCTAGACAGTGTTCAGAACTGAAATGTGACTGATTCTGTCCATGGCTCCAGTTTCAGCCTGAGTTCAATCCAAGATTAACAAAAAACTAATTAGGGATTTGGGGCAAGTCTCACAGACTATTCTCACCCCAATATCAATACCTATGAAACAGGGACTTATAAAATCATCATAGCATTGGGAGAGGGCAAAGAAATAGGCTTTAAGAAAATTTAGAGTTTGTAACATACATAAAACTAATAGCCAACTAATCTGTGGAGAAAAGCTCATTCAGTTGTCCCGTTGACAAATATTTACTGAGTGTACCTAGACTTTGTGCTGGGTGCTGAGGATACAGGGATGAATGGGACAGTCGCAACCTTCAAGGAGTAGCTCCAGGCCTTATGAGAGGGACAGACATATGAAGGGGTGAATCATGAAATAATATGGATTCCACAAGCCCTGTGGAGTCCCACAGGACTGCTGACAGAGTCACATTGCATTGGGGAAGAGGTGTCATGATCAATCTGAAAAATGGGAAGAGATTTATTTTGACCCCACAGAACTCTGGTTTCTCTGACTCCTCCCTGACCACCATATTAGCTGAGCCCCTCCTCCTTGCCAGCTACAAGTGTCAGAACTGGAGATGCTGACGTGAGCAACAAGCCATCCCTGGCTTCTTCCACCTGCTAGGTTTAGAAAAACCAACAAGTAATCAAATCATTGCAGTGCAGTGGGATGATAGAATAGGGTTGGATGAGGAGATTTCACCTTTTGATTCATGGATTACTGCCCAGTCAGCAAGCTGGGTATATTACTGCCACAAGCACACCCACCTCCAACCTTCCTACAAAACACACTTGTTTGCTTCCATATTTAATTAATATTTTAATTAAGCCTCATTCCTATCTCTGCTAACACGTTCTCATTTGTAAAGCAGTTAAAGCTGTTTATTTCCAACACACTTTTGTTTCCTTTGGTATGAGGAAAGCAGTATAAAAACTATGCATCTACTTTTTAAAAACCCTAATCTGCTTGTATTTCCATAGGCTAAAGCAACAATGAGATTTATGGTGTTGAAGATTGAGAGATAGGGACTCAATAAATAATTGCTTGATTTTTACTTTTTAATGTTTTTTACTTTTGGAAGTCTGTCTCTGAAAATGGTGCGTGTGTATGTGTGTTACACACACATACATATATACACACACACATACATAGAACTTGTAACCCAATCCTAAGGAAGAGAATGCACTGCATACAAGATTTCAAAAACAGAAAAGTTACAAAAGATTGATAAACCAACCACTCTTTACATGCATGGTATATACTGAAACTCAGAAATGCTAATAGTAATAAGAAGCAATTGTTCAAAAAGCAGTTGGCTATTAGTTTTTAATCTTTGTTAGTCTGTTTGAATACATTCAGAAATATTGGTCCCCTGAAAGATGTTATGAAACTTTAGTGAGGATTGGTGATGTTTTTCCCATGGAGGACACCAAAAGTAAGTTCAGGGACTCTCTGACGTAGACAGCACTGGCCCAGGAAGTCTGCCCGGTCCCCAGGCAGTGTCCATTGTTCACAATGTCCATCTCATCACCACTGGCACCAACTGTCATCTCTGGAGAGATGCTTCAGGCCATTCTTATTTTTGAAGGAGCTGAGGCTTCCCAGAGCTAAGGCTGGGAAAACTTTAGCCATCTCCCCAAACAGGCTACCAAGTTAGGAGCCAGCCCATAAGCCTTTGAGATTTAGGAGGCAAAACGGGCAGCTTGCCCTTCTCCTTTACTCATCGGCAAAATAACTCAAAAAATCACAATAAAACATAATATGGTTACCCTTTTCTTTGGAAATATTGTCTTAGAATGATGAAAAAAATGCTCAAAAAACAAAAGCCAGTAGCCTACTGAAATCACGTGGGTGCAGTGTCCATGGCCCACTGCCTGTTGCAGAGCATTCTGCGGCCTCTGGGAAGATAAAGATCTGCGATGGCGATTGTGTCGCAAATACACACAACAAGAGAGAAAGTCCACATTGCCACACAGTGTGATGATTTTCAATTATTTTCCCTAAAACAGAGTAACACTCTTACAAATATTCTTTTCCTCTGAGTGTTGCTGCTTAGTGCTCGCTTTATGTAGAAGAGTCTGTTGTTCCCTTTCTCATAGTAAGAGCAGAGCCTTCTGGAAAGTAGGGCATTGAGAAGTTCTAAAATATTTTTCTCTTTATATTGAAGAAATTAGGTTCATTTTGTAGTCTATAGATCAGGGTCAGTTTCTTCTCATTGGCTTTAAAGAATAGTTTCCTGTTTTGAGTTTCTTTACTTTTTTAAGTTTCAATAGTTACACAATAGGTAATAACATTTGCAAAGTCTTTATCCACTTTAAAATTTTAAAAATCTACTCGGTATCTATCAGTTATGCCATGTCTGCTTCTAGGAAGAAGCTGCAGAAGCTAACAACAAAGCCCTATTATAAAAAGAATAAGAGATTAGCAGTGAACTGAAAGCAAGGGGGAGAAAAATAGTCAAACAAAAATGTAAAGTAATGATTTTCTTTGAGCAGAAAGCTTGGCACCCAGTTTTCTTAATAAAAAGGAGACATAATAGATCTTGGTAAAATGTAAATGCACTTTTTTTTTTTTTGCTACATTCTAAAATTGGGCTATCCCTATAAGAAATATGACCTCCTCTATTGGACAGGCTAGGATGTAAGTGCTTATATGTCACGATCAGGGTTATAACAACTTCTGTGCAGGCTGATCAATTTGAATGGTGAATATTAGTCAAAATCAATCTGCTTTGAACCAATAAACAAGGAGCAAGATTGTGAGGAACATTTCTTTGGATGAAATCATCCCTGGCAGTGTGAAACATAAGGGTCAAAAAATTCAGAAAATCATCATAAGGTTCACATATTTTATTGAATTACCATTCTTTGACATCAGATCTTTACCAGACATTAACATTTCAATGTTATGCTTTTCCTCAGTGCTACCAGTGGTTGAAAGAAAGAATTGTAAGTGAAGAGGGGAGAAAACAGCAAAACAAGCTAAAAGACCTTTCCCCAATTGCAGAGCGTCTGGGATGCACACTACCTCAGCTAGCTGTTGGTAAGAAAATTACTAAGCTATGGGGTGGTAGAGGGACTTCTGCTGAGATCATAGTTTTCTATTGCTGACCACACCCTTACCATGATAAAATGTCTTTTGTAGGGACAGATGATCTCTGAAGCATAAACTCCTGCTAGATATAAAGTGAGTTATTTGAGGTTCCCCAGAATTTTCTACACGATAGCAAATTTTTCTTACTTCTTTCCCCTTGCCCTTATAATATAGTTTAAATGAGAACATGTCAGTGATAACACACACTATCACAGATGTCAGGGGTGAACTGTGTAGTGACATCCATTTCTTTTGGCTCAAGTTGCTGTCTCTGTTGAAAACTGAGCCAGGGTTGGTTAGAAGCTGAGATACAGGACTGTTACAGGCCCAAGGCTACTGCCACATGAAAAGCTGATCCTAGAGAAATAGCTTCAACCTGAAACTTCTTGAAGGCCATAAAAATTGTCCTTCTAATGCTGTGGAGTCCATGAAAGGTCATGATTGCTGGTAACAATTGAAAAACCACCTACACTGTTTGAGAGAAAGATAACATGAACCACATTCAATCATGGGTGTTTCAGTCAACGATGGACCACATATATGTAGGCGGACCCATAAGATTATAATGGAGCTGAAAAATTACTATTGCCTAGTGATGTTGTAGCTGTCCTAAGGTCCTAGTGCAATGAATTACTTGTGTGTTTGTGGTCATGCTGGTATAAACAAGCCTACTGCACTGCCAGTAATCTAAAAGTCTAGCACACACAATCATCTACAGTACATAATACTTGATAATGATAATAAATGACCATGTTACTGGTTTATGTATTTACTATACTATACCTTTCATCTTTACTTTAGAGTGTTACTTCTTCTACTTACTAGAAAAAAAAAAGTTAACTGTAAAACAGCCTCATGCAGGCCGTTCTCCTGAAGGGTGTTCCCAAAAGAGGAATTATGATCACAGGAGATGACAGCTCCATGTGTGTCCCTGAAGACTTCCCAGAGGAACAAGATGTGGAGGTGGAACATAGTGATGGTCCTGACCCTGTGTAGGCCAAGGCTAATGAGTGTGTCTGTGTCTTAGTTTGTAACAAATAAAAAAGTTTAAAAAGCTAAAAACATACTTTTTAAAAATGAAAAAAAGCTTATAACGATATAAAGGAAATACTTTTGTACAACTGTACAATGTGTTTGTGTTTTAAGCTATGTTATTACAAATAAGTTGAAAGGTTTTTTTGTTTGTTTTTTGTTTTGAGACGGAGTCTCGCTCTGTCGCCCAGGCTGGAGGGCAGTGGCGTGATCTCGGCTCACTGCAATATCCATCTCCTGGGTTCAAGCGATTCTCCTGCCTCAGCCTCCTGAGTATCTGCGATTACAGGTGCACACCACCACGCCCAGCTAATTTTTGTATTTTTAGTAGTGACAGGGTTTCACCATGTTGGTCAGGCTGGTCTCTAACTCCTGACCTTGTGATCCACCCACCTTGGCCTCCCAAAGTGCTGGGATTACAGGCGTGAGCCACCGTGCCCAGCCAAAAGTTTTTTTAAATTAAAAGTTTATAAAGTAAAAATGTTACAGCTAGCTAATGTTAATTATTGAAGAAAGAAAAATCTTGAAAATAAATTTAGTGTAGCCTAAGTGCACAGTGTTTACAAAGTCTATGGTAGTGTACAAGAATGTCCTAGGCCTTCACATTCACTCACCACTCACTCACTGACTCACCCAAAGCACCTCCCAGTCCTGCAAGCTCCGGTCATGGGAAGTGCCCTACACAGGTATACTATTTTATACCGTATTTTTACTATAACTTTTCTATGTTTAGATACACAACACCATGTGTTACAACAGCCTCTAGTATTCAGTACAGTAACATGCTGTACATATTTGGAGCCTAGGAGCAACAGGCTATACCATATTGCCTAGATATGCAGTAGGCTATACCAACTAGGTTTACATAAGAACCCTGTGATGTTCACACAATGAGGAAAATACCTAACAATGCATTTCTCAGAACATGTCCCTGTCGCTATGGGATGCATAACTGTATCTTATTTTAAATTTTCTAGTGAACACATTAAAACATTAAAATGAAACCAGTGAAATTAATTTTAATAATGGATTTTCTTTAACCCAATATAGCCAAAATATTATCATTTCAACATGTAATAAATATTAAAAATTATTGAGATATTTTACTTTTATTTTCTACAAATCTCTGAAATCCAGCATATATTTTACACCTAGAGCAAGCACATTCCAATTCAAGCTAGACACATGTTGCATGTTGCATGCTCAATAGCCACATGCTGCCAAAGGCTACACACTGGGCAGAAAAGCACTGAGACTTCTGGTTCCCTTACTAGGGGATGTTTGTCAGGTTCTATGGTAAGCACCTCAGGCTCATGCTCACTGTGTTGTCTCCTTCATCATCAAAACAATCTGCTGAGGTCTATATTATTACTAGTCATATTTTACAGATGCTAGTGGAGGATTTTGCTATTACTATCTCCACTTACAAATGAAGAAATGAGATAAAAGAGTTCATGTGGTAGCTATGAGAAAGGAATAAAATGGGTGCTGATTCTAGACAAAAAAAAAAAAAATCCTAAAGATTAAGAAATTGCAGGAATTGGGACATATCAGAAACACTAACCCAATGAGATAAAAAGCTCAAGATAAGCTTTATGCAAATAAAATAATTTAATAGAATATTTGTTGGTAGCTTGACTCTTCAGAGGTTGGAAGGCAGAGAAATGTTAGTTGCAATTAACAGTCATAGAAAGATAGAAATGGAACGTGGTTTTAGAAAGAGGGGGAAATGCCATGTACCTAAGTATATGTATGACTGTTGCTTTAATCCTTTCTTCAAAAAAATAAAATAAAGCAATGTATTTAATGTTTTTACTTAGCAACCCTACAGCTTTAACAAGCACAGTAAAACATATTAGCTATTTGACCATAGGCAAGTTGCTTAACCTGATAACAATTTTCTTATCTGTGAAATGGGTATAATAATACATATCTTACAAACTAGTTGAGTAAAGGGAAATTATATATATAAAGCAAAAAGTAGGTGCTCAGTGAGTGCTAATAAAGATGATAATGTTCTTGCAGAGAGTAGACATGCAAAACTTGAAATTCTGTCTGCTCTTAGCCATGGCATGCAATCAGAGTAACATGCAGAGAAACATATTCTGCACAATCATAAATATGGTTTTTAGACAGCAACATGAAGTATTAAACTTAGCCCTGAAAGACAGGGAAGAACATTGTCTTTCTAGAGAGGAAATCTTTACAAGATTTAGACTCTCACTGGATATTAGATATACATGAAGTACCTTCTTTACGGGGTCTGAGTTTAAATTAATACATGCTTTTTTCCCCTTTTCCTCCCTCTATCCCCTCAGATGTCTTTCTCACCTGTCACTTCTTTCTTTGTAAATAAATAATTTTGTTTATAGCCACAAAACTCTCAAAATCAAAAGGGAAATTATTTCCAGGTGTGTTATCTTTGGTCTGCTAGTGTGGGAGAGGGGAGATCCTCCAGCAGGAAGCGAACTACTTGAACCCAACTATGTGCCTGCTCCCCAAGTCACACAGGTATAGTGGAGCCAGCATTCACACTTTGTTCTTAGTGAACAGGCACTCTGGACATACTTGCTGGTGACACTTGGTTAGAGGTGCTAATTATCCAGAATCAGCTGCAGTTGCTACCATGGAGTTGACCAGCTCTGCCCAGTGGGTTCTCCTGTGCCCCAGAGGCCCATTAGGGGAATCAGCTGTTGATGACCTCGCGTAGTCAGGTAGTTTATGGGCAATAATTTGCCTAGAATTGGCTTTGTCCTCAGAACTACTTTTAAGGCCAAAAACAGTTCTCAGTGCAAAGCAGGAAACAATGCAGTCAAGAAAAGGAGAGAAAGATTGGATTGGTACTTTTATAGAGCACTATTTTGTATTTTGCCCATGTGGAAATTCAGTGATTACCATAAAAGGCCTGGACATGGTAACAGCTTAAGAGTATCAGTTGACAATACGGCTGTCCAAATGGGGGCAGAAGATGTGCTTGGGGATATCCATCAATCATCCATGCCTATGTTTATTCAACAAACATTTAATAAGTTCCTACTTTGTGCAAGACACTGGGCTGGTGGCTGAGCACCCAAATGCAAATAAGACACATCTCACAGCCTGGTAGGCAAGTCAAGCAAATAAACAGATAATTTTAATACAGGTCATAATACTGAGAAGGGAACAGAGGATTAGGGAATTAGGAGCTTGGAATTCAGGGAAGTACTTTAGGAGCAGGCAATTCCTTTGGGAAGTCTCAAATGATAAGCAGATATTAGTGAGGTGAAAAGAAAGGGGGAGGCAAAAGGACATTCCAGGCAAAAGGAACAGCTTGAGCAATATGCCCCAGAAGGAAGGGAGGAAGAGGAGAAAAGCAGCAAGATGCTTGGGGATGGAAAGGATTTAAAGACAAGTGAGTGCTCCTGAAGCACAAAGTTCAAGGTAGGGAGCCATGAAGCTGCAGAGGTAGGCTAGAAAATAAGGTTTTCCAAGGTAAGAATTAAGAACCTCAGGCCCAACTAGGGAAGTGATATGATCAGATTTGTGTTTTTAGAGACCGCTGCTGGCTGGATGAGAGCTGTATGGGGGAAATATAAGGGGATAATTCAAGCAAGAGGTAGGAAAACCAGTTTTCCAGGAGAGAGATGAGGGCTTGAGTGAGGGCAGCAGTGACTGAGGTGGTGAAGACAGCTGAACCAAAGCAGTCATTGTCAAACTGAGCCCTGTATCCACACAATGGAATACTCTTTAGCAACAATAAGAAATGGTGTACGGATACATGCTGCAACATGGAAAAACCTAGAAAATATACGCTTAAGTGAAAACCAGACCCAAACGACCACTTATTGTTTGATTCCATTTAGGTGAAATGTCCAGAAAAGACAAATCTGGAGACAAAAAGTGGGTCAGTGGTTGCCTGGTACTTGAGGTAGGGATCTTATTAGGGTGATGGAAATGTTATAAAACTGGATTGAAAATAGTGAAGGTTGCATATTAAAAATGGTGGTTTGTAAATTTATAAAAAAAATTTAATGTACAACTAAAATGGGTAAAATTTTTGATGGGTAAATTTTACCTCAATAAAGTTGGTTTAGAAAACAAAGCACAAAAGAGCATGGTCCCAGATCAGCAGCATCAGCATAAGCATTACCTAGGAGTGTGTTAAAAATGAACAGACCGTACCCCAGAACTTCTGAGTCGGAAACTCAGGGGGTGAGCCACAACAGTGGGTGTTTCACAGGCCCTTGGGATGATTCTGACGCATACCAAAGTTTGAAAAGCACTTGATTAGAGGATTATTTAGGAGGAATAATTAATTGGACTTAGCAGTTAAAAGGGAAAAGGGGGTCGGAAAAGGACAGTTCTTAAAGATTACTCCCAGGTTTCCCGATTGGGGAGCCACATTGCTGGTGATGCCCCCAAATGTGATTGGGAATGCAAGAGAGCCAGGCATCATAGCCGGAAGTTTGCGGTGCCTGTGGGGCATCTCGCGGGAAGGCCCAGCAGACACCGCATCTAGTCCAGCAACACTGAGTTCCAGGCAGCTAAGGACTGAGAAGTCCACCGTAACCACCAGGAGGCTCCTGGGGACCTTAGCTTTGGGACACAGCAACAAGGTGACTGGGATGTGAAGCAGGTCAGTAAGGGAATCCGAACTGACCTTTTAGAAGTTTAAGAGGGGAAGAAGGTTGGGGAAGTATCTAAGCAGGTAAAAAGGGTCAGAGGAAGCTTATTTTAGAATGGGAGAAATTTTAGCATGTTTTGTTGACAGAAAGACACCATAAGAAATTTTGAAATGGGGTGGTGGGGGCAGTGGAATCACGTATGAATCAAGTCCAAGAAAAGGCAAAAAGGAGATGGCTCCAAGGCAGAGTTTGGTCTTTGACAGAAACCGCACACATCCTCTTCTGAAACTGGAGGATATGGATGTGGATTCTTATGCAGTAGGAGAGTGGGGAATTAAGGAATATTCCAATGGAGGGACTTGATTTTCTATAGACATTAGGACAAGGTCATCTAGTAAGAGTCAGGGGACAGAGGTTGATGGAATGGTTTAAGAGTACAGGTTTAAGGTCATTTTTGGGAAAAGAAAGATGACCAAGGGCAAGAATGAGGCTGACCAGGCTGGCTGAAGCCAGCTGGGAGGGAAGACGTGAATGCACAGGGGCACCAGACCATGAACTGTGAGATTCTCTCCAGCACGCTCAGCTGCCCTGAAGTAGAAGCCAAAAACACAGATGCAGTACTGATGGGGATCTGCTAAGGAAGCAGAGGAAGTGAAGGGTGTGAGGGTTCATAAGAGAGTAATTTAGATCATCAAGACAGAATGAATCTTGGGTTAGGAAGAAAGGGAGGTCCAGAGAGGGCTGCCAGGTAGGTGGGAACCAAGGAACCAGAAACCTAGAGTCTACAAGGGCTACAAGCAACAGATGTGGAAAAGTGAGAACATGAATACGATGGAAAGACAGGAGGTTGTGGGTCAAGGTAGAAACAGGAATCGAGCCATCTGCTGGTGAGCAATGTTAGGTGTTTCCAGAACAATGTGTCTCTAGGGTGGGTAGCTGGATTGAATGCCCCGGTTGTGGTGACGAGGCCTTATGTGGAAAGCAAAAAGGCCTTAAGCCCTGAGCCAACCCAAATGCATTGAGTGTTAACTAAGGGACATATAGTAGGCTAGGAATTGGAAAACCAACAGAGAAGCAAGAAAGACAGCAGTGCATCTGTGTTTTCTGCTTCTACTTGAGGGCAACTGAGCGTGCCGGAGAGAATCTTACAATCCATGATCCGACGCCTCTGTGCATTCGCATCTCCCCTCCCAGGTGGGCTTTGACAGATGCTGTCAAATCTTCTACACAACAGGGGGTGCTGCTCAGGTTTTTAATCTAGGAAGCACTGTACATCCTCCACAAAAGGAGTTAATAAATTTTGGCTGCAACAAACAGCTGTAGCAGGTGTTTATAAGCTAATCAGTGATTGGAAGTGCTTTGATAACCTGACCCAGTGTCCTCTCCTCCCAGCGTGGTGCCTGAGAAATGAAGGTGTGAGTTCTGTGCTCCTGGGATCATCCACCCCTGAACAACTCATTGAAAACCTTGGTGCCATTCAGGCAAGTATTGCAGCCCCTTCCAACAAACACCAGGGAATTTAAAGGTGCCTTTGAGGCTATTTCCAGGCAGTGTCTGTCTCTGCCCCGCTCCATCCTTCTGGGTGGGGCAAGAGTAGGGGGCACAAAGGCAAAGAACACTTTCCCAGAACATGTATCCAGGGTTGTCCTCTGCCTATGAACAGGCAGTATTCCCAAAGCTCATTTCTTGGGATGGTTTGTTTCTGTGGAAGAGTGCATTCCAGTGTTAACCCAGCAACTGACTTCCCAGGCCTCGCCATAAAAGCCTGGCTGATAACTTGCTTGGAAATTTAAGTCATAGGACAATATACATACATCATTTACTCATTTGTTCTTTCCACAAATATTGCCCACCTGCTGTGTGCTGAGCCTCTTCTGTTCGCTGAGCATCTTGTATTCCCCCTCCCATGATAACTTTTATGATAATGTAGTATAACTGCCTGTCTCTCCTGCTAGACTGCAAGCCCTCTGAGGTCAGAGACCTGCGTCTTTGCTTTTCCACTGGTTTTCCAGTTCCTAGGGTACTTACCACATGTTCCTTAGTTAATACTCAAGACCTATTGAATAATATTTGCCATGTTTTAAGAGAAATGGGCTCAAAATTCTATTTTGGACTTCCAGGATCACATCTCCCTAGAAGCAAATTTAGGAGGCCCATCCCCATTCCCTATGCCATGAGGATGGCCGCTGGTTCAGGGCACTAGATGGGGCCTGCAGCTATATTCTGGGGAGCTTGTAGTGGCAGTGGGTGGGTTGAAAGGATGTTCCTGGGAACTCTAAGGAGAGGGGTGGAGTTTAGTATCTATTGTGACCACCTCCTTTCCCCAAAGGCCACAGCTAATCCTGAGTCTGTCCTACTCTCAACCCTGCTAAAAGCCCTAGGAATGATCCTGCCCGCAATTCTTGCCACTACCTGCTAAAACAAGAAAGGTTGTCTATTTTTCTCCTGCTCATGGGAGGAAAAGAACTATCTCACAGCTTCTTCCCTATCTACCTGTCCTTGCAACAAGCACATAGCCCTGTTACCATTCCCAAAAGGAAACAGGTGGAGGTAGGGACAAATATGATTTAAAATCCTTTTTAAAAATAGCCCAGAACACACTGTGGAATAAATGGCATAGATCCGCTGCCCACTCCCCCAACCTTTCTTAGGGCTGTGCAGCTGTCTAATCACCTCTGCCTCTCTGCTTCTAACAACTCCCATATCCAGCCCTGTAACTCCTACTGGATTCTGTGAGGTTCCCTGTGCCTACATGAGGAATTATCCCTCTTATGAATGCCACCTCTCATTTTCATTTATGCTCTGGGAAAAGATAAGGGTACACAGTGATGAGGGGACAGAACAGTTTGTACAAAAAAGAACTGAAATTCAACCCAATGATTTCAGTTTCACTAATATTTATGGAGCACTTAATTCTATGTCTGGCATCATCTTAGGCAGTGGGAGGACTGAGATGGGCAACAGGACCCGGCCTTCAAAGAGCTCATGTGCTGGCTGAGAAACAGTGAATTAAAAAATCTATCCCTTAATTCATTCAACAGATCTTTGAGAGCCTACTGTATACCAGGTACCCACAGGAAAGAAGAATAACACCGTCTAACCTTCAAGGGGTTTTTTACATGCCAGTAGGAGAGACAGATAAATATACAAAATGATTTCAGGTTGTGAAAAGGGCCATTAAGTAAATAAATGTTTATTTTACTGAGACTGAGAAATGGGTGAGCCTATTTTAAATGTCTTTGCAAAAAGCCCCTCTGGAATATGTTTATTCCAAGGACTTCGCATGCCTTCATTTTTTACATTCTTTGACAACGATTTACATGCCTTCACACAGCATGTGAAGAGTCCAGGAAAGTGCATTTCAGGGACAGGGAAGAGCAGTGGAAAGGCCCTGAGATGGGAAGGACCATGACTTTTCCCAGGAACTGTCAGCTAAGGCCAATGTGGTCAACATGTAGTTGAGCACAGGCACAGCAGCTGCAGTGATGAGGAGAGACAGGCAGGGCCAGGTCTCGCAGGACACCATGGGTTACAGTTCATGCTACATGTGACAAGTCCTTGTGGAGGGTTTTAAGAGGAGGGACATGCTCCTGTTTGAATGTCTGAAGGTCACTCTGGCTGCTGTGCGGAAAGTAGAATGAAGAGCAAGGGCAGTCATCCAGGCAAGAGGCGATGGTGGCTTGAATGAGGGTAGTGGCCATGGAGGGGGAGAGAAGTGCATGGATTCTGCAGGTTTGAGAAAGAGAGACACCATGGCTTGGCAGAAGAGGGAGGAATTGAGGATTCTTATCATGCTATTACTGGGAGATCACTGCCATTCCTGGGGGCAGTCACAGTGCCTGGGGATGGCATATGAGGCAAGTCTCAGGCTGAGTTTTAAAAGCTGTGGAAGTAGACAAGGCAGCTGACGGGGAAGGAGACACTTTCAGAGGAAAAGTCTTGAGTAATTTTTCTTCCCAAAACATTTCCTCCCTAGCAAGGCTTTTGCTTGCAGCAGGATGAGGCTTTGCCTATCCTAAAGGGGACATTATCCATGCAGCAAGGCTGGTACCATTGCGGGCTTACCAATCCTCCCCTGTTCTACTCCACCTCCCACTACCCAGCACTGAAGTCCACCCAAGACAAGCTGTGATTGGGCCCACAACATGGTGAAGAGCAGACTGGGTGACTAGGGGTACCCAGCAGTGGTGGGACTGGTTGCAGAAGGATGGAAAATATGGAGCACCAGCAGTTGTAAGAAAATATTTCTAGTAGGCTGGGAAGGCAGCTGCTTCAAGGGATGCCATGTGCCTAGGATGTGCAGAAATGAAGGGGCATATATAAATCAGAGCCCGATAGGTGGGAGAGACAACAGGTGAAAGCACAGTTACAGGCAGCCAGCCTTCACCCACACAGGTTCCATCCTCCCCACTCCCGCCTAAAAGGTGGGAGAACCGCCTCTCCTCGTCCTCCCCACATGCCTTAAAACCCTTCTGAGGTTCCCCACCCACTCAGAGAAGGCCAGGCTCCGCAGCAGTCGGGCCTCATCACTCCCCACCACACCTCCCCGGAATCTGAATCCTCAGCCATCCTGAACCACTCAGAGCCTCGGCGATAGCAGTGGCCCCCTGCCTACAAACTGACCACTACCCCAGCCTAGCAAAATCCTCCTCCACTCCCAAGTTCCAGATCAACAGGAACCGAATCCTGGGAGGCCTTTCACTAATGTCCAGCCAGCCCCAGCAACGTTAGCCAGACCTTCCCTCACCCACCACCTATCCCAGGCATTGTAACATCAAGTTTGCAAAACTAGTAGCCTGTGGGGTGTTTGTAAAATCTGTAGTAGTTTACAATGTTTTAAAGTGGGGCTTCTCTTGAAAATTCTGGTCTTGCGATACTACATCTTGTTTTATTCGAGTACTTTTATGGTTTCGTTTTTCTAACGTCTAAATCTCTTTCCTATCAAAAATTTGTTTTGGTGTAATGAATGAAGGATTTTTCTCCTCACATGGCTAACCCACTGTATTTTAGACAAAAAAAAAAAAAAAAAAAAAAAATCCAACACATCCAGTTTCTAGGTTTTTGGTCTCATTATTACAATCTCATTTTAAATAACACATTAGCTGTTTGGACACTGAAATTCCAGAGCTAGTGGGAAATCAAATTCTTTCTTCAGCTTCACAGTAAAACATTAACCAGAATGAAGTTTCCCAGGCTGGCAGCTCTACTATTTTGCCAAACCCTAAGGCTTCTGAGGATAGCACTTGAGTGGAGACAAGGTCACCTTGGCCAGCAGGATTGCAGCAAAAGGAGAATGAGGTTGAAACCTCAGAACTGGTCGTCAGAATTGTATTTCACCACGGTCTCCACACAGGGTCAGACTTTTCCAGTGAGAAAGTCTGCCTTTGTCCCTTGTCTTATGGTGTAATGTGTACCCTTGGCCCACTTCTCACAATAAATGCTAGCCTTGAATGAGCTCATCCTTTCCCCAGGCTTCAATCAGCATGTCAGTGCAAATGATTCACAAACCCTCAACTCCAGCCCTCCGGCAACTATGAAGCTCCACAGCTGCATGTGCAGCTGCTCAGTCACTCCTAGGTGGATATTCCACAGGCACCTTACACTCAACACATCCTACTCCCTCCCAACTTCTCATTCCCCAAACTACTTCCCTTTGGTTTCTAATCTCAATAATCAACACCAATATTCTTCTAGTTACTCAGTCTTGAAACCACCATCATCACCCAAAATGTCTGTCAGGTCTACTTTTCTTTTCTGCTCCACTGCCCTAGTTAAGGCCCTATTGCCCGGCTTGGATTGTAACACATATCTAACATCTGTGTCCCCTTTTAACCTCCTCCAACTCACCCTTCAAACCACCTCCAGGTGTCTGATGGGGTTACTCCTAGATCAGAAGTCCTGACAGGTTCCTCACTGCCTAAAGTGGGGATTCCATAAAATGGCATTTAAGGCCTTCCACACTCTTATCCGGTTCTTACCATCCATATCCTGTTTTACCATCCCCACAACTAATCACTGTACATTATCACTCCAGTTCATTTTTCCATGCTATTCCATCTACCTGGGATGCCTGTTAAACCCCAGCCATCTTTCACCAGGGTTCAGACCACCAGTCAGAATAAATCTCTTCTTAGTCTCTAGACCTGTGCTATGCACTACCATAGTTCTAGCCACATGTGGCTACTGTGTGCGTGAAAGATGGCGAGTCCAAACAGAGATGTGCTTTAAGTGTAACATGTTCACAAGATGTGACTTAGTACCAAAAACAACTGTCAAGTATCTTTTCTATATTGATTACATGTTGGAATAATGTTTTGGACATAATGGAGTAAAAATGTGTATTTATTTCACTGTTCTTTTTAAGGTATCCAATAGAAAATTAAAAATTACAAATGTGGCTTGCATTATATTTACACTGGATAGAGCTGCTCTATATTTCTATGAGCCTTCACTTATGCCTTTATGCCTTCATTTATGCAATCAACAAGGCCCCTGACCTCAAGGAGGTTACAATGTGATGGGGGAGTGGTTATATTTCAGCTGTGGTTTGTGAAGATACACGATGCTAGATTAATTTGCTAAATATAGAGCACAAAAAAACGAATGATCAACACTGCTAACAATATCCTATGTACTTCTCCTCCTGCTCTCAGGTCCTCCCAAAGATGACATCACATGTGGTAAATGAGATTGATAACATATTGCGCAACAAGCCCTACAGCAAGAAGGACTATAGATCATAAGGCAATGCATGAACCACAGAAGCTGCATGGTTAAAATAGCGGCCTGTGCCCAGTACAGAAAGGTGTTACTAACCAGTCTTTTCAATCACTTAGCAGCTTGCTGCTCAACCTCTAGTGTCCCTCCCTGGATTCTCTGAGGTGTCTGCTGTCGCTACCACTGTGCACATCTGAAAACTCACAACCAAGAAAATCCATTCTATTTTCTTATCTTGGACTGGAGTCACCTATTCTTGCATTGCTGTATACACCTCATGCTTATGCAATGGGAAGAATATGGGGGCCGGGGGGTGATGTATTACCTTCAGGCATTTGGTAACTCAAAGAAGGCTGTACAGATATATTTTTTCAAAAGAACAAAATCCACAGATGCAATGTGAGTTGCATAAGAAACAGAGTAGACAGACTAAATTCAGTGAAGGAAAGGAATTCAGAGATTTTTCTTAGGAAATAGATTCTTGTTAAGTAAATAGTTATTAAAAATATATCTCACTGCAAAAACAAAAAAAAACAAAAAAACAAACAAAAAAATAAACAGTATCTTCACTCAAAAGTCTTGCTTGGAAGAATAAGCAGAAAGAATTTTATATATTTTTTTTTCTATTTTCACATTCATATTAACACGTTTTGTTCCATTTGTTGTTCAACAAAACTACAATTTCTGGGTATTTTGGCTTTATTACCTTTCAAATATTTACTGTTGCTTGGCCCCAAGAATGGCCTTGTACAACTTATCCAGAATGTCTATTAGGATTCTAATGTTATATCCACTTACAAGTAGTGACAGTAAAAGGATGAATACCCCAATCTTTAGTGACATTGCAGCTGATTTATAAAAGAGAGGGCTACACTGCTACGGAAACTTAGCTTTGAAGAAAATGCAATGTATCTGCAATTAGGTGTTCATTTGTTACTACATTTTTATTAAAACCTGCTTTATACTGTCAACTGCTTGGAGGCACAATTTCTGCAAGTTTAAATATTTGAGCTTTAAAAATAAACATAATACATGCTCAGTTTTTTAAGTAAACCTGTAAAATACCCAGAAAGGCAAATGTTGATTGTTTAATTAGCACTGGGATTTTCAACATGTTTGGTATTTTTGAAGCGTTGTTAACATGAAAGTCAACCACTGGCTTTGTGAAAAAATGCTATGTCACTATTCAGAATATGCTGGGTAAATTAACTTGCCTAGTGAAAAGCAAAATGTTAAAGAACTTCTGGTTATATAATATTATATGCACTAAACTATATGCATGAAAGTTCTTTGCATGGATTAATGGGGCTTACCCTTGTTGCACTCGAAATCTGAGGTATATCTAGCCCTGCCACTATTGGCTACTTACCCTCATTAATATCCCACTTGAGAAAAATTGTGAGAATATACTGTGTCAATATCTGTAAAAAGAGAGAAAATATGTTTTTTGTTTTTGAAGGGGGTGGTGTGGAGGTGGCCCTTTAACTTTATTTGGATATCTGAGGATGTACAAAATTCTAATTTAATTTTCTGGTCAGCAACTTCCCCATACAGAAATCACTTTGAGGTTTACAGAAGAATTGTAGTATCATTTTAAAATGTTATTTTCTGTCATTATTTCTAAATGTGTATTTCATGGTTAAATTCTAAATCTGAAAATGCTAGTGGGAGATATCAAGAAATTTTCTTTTTGATTACCAGTACCTGTATTCTAACAAAGTTTGAATTTTTTGCCCGAATATCAGAATGATGGAAATTGATCATTTTTTCAGTTGTTCATTGTGTATTCAATCCAGTGAACTGCTGTACGTATAGAGGAGCTGAGGTGCCGTCTAATGGGAAATGTGATTTATTTGCTTAGAGTAATAAAAGCATTTTGTGCATTAAATCTCACAATAGATTTTATCTGATCTTTCATTTTAAGGCTTATCTTTCCATATATGGAAAATATACACATATAAAATATATGTGGCCATAAAATAGGCAATAATCATCTAAATAAAAATTATATTGGCAGCTAAGCTGCACTGAATACTCAACAGAAATAGCAGTGATCAAAAGTCTGAGATTTAAATTGCAATCCAAACATTTTCTATCAATGGAGATTAACTACTGAAGATATCATTTCTCACTGAGTTTTAGAACACTCTGCACTAAGGTTAAGGCTTCATGAATTCACTTTTAAAAACTTGCAAATCAAAACCAAATATAAATATTATGGCTTAGCTGTGGGAACAGCCAGTTTTTTATATGCGAATCTGTCATGGTAAATATACTAGATAATGTATTTCAGTTACGTCCTTAGGAAAATTTCCACGCACTCTAATTTTCTTTTCTCTTCCGAAAAGAATTCCCTGGCAGAGAATATATCATTCCAAAAGGTAACTTGGGTAGCAGCCATCCCTATATGGAAATCTCAGGCAAACTAGAAACCCTGTGTCTGGCTTCCCACTTTAAGAACTGTCACTTCATCTTCATGAAGAGACTGCCCAAGTCATTAGGCAGATGTCAGAGCCTGAAGGAACCTTAGCAATCTGCAAAGCCATCCCTCTCACAAATGAGCAAAGCAGGCCTGGATAGATGAAAAAAACTTGCCCAAACTCACACACTGCTAGCTGATGGCAGAACCAGGCCTGGAACCCAAGTATTTTGTGTTCTATGTCAGGGCTCCTTTAGGTAGATTTTTTTTTTTTCTTTTAAAAGGCTTTAAAGTTTTATGCAGAAATTGTGAGAATGTTGAAGTTAAAAAACTTAAGTATTAATCCAAACTCAGAAATCAAACAGGGAAAAGTCAGCGAAGAGATATACTGAAAATTCATAAAGGCCAAAGAGAAGTTAGTCTCTCTCTTCCTGAAAATTTAAACCAAGACCCTCCTAGTCTTCTATTAATTCCTCTGCTTGGGAGTCCCAAGGAAGTGAAAGAGAATCCCTTAGAGCTCTAATAGATACATCTATAAATTGGTTTTCTCCATAAATGACACATACATGTATCCTTCCATTCTGTCTCCAGAAGCAGCAGTGACTGGCATGCACACTGAAAACAAAGAAAGAGGGCAGGCAGAAAGGCACAGCAGGTACATACTGGCAGAGGCCTGATGTCTGCCCTTTATTGTAACCGCTCAATGCCTTTCATTGCCTCACATATATCTGATCGGTAACTACAAAGATGTGCATTTATGTGTGAGATATTAAAATGATGGTTACATGTATACCTATGTAACAAACCTGCATGATCAGTACATGTATCCCAGAACTTAAAGTAAAATTAAAAATAAAGCAATTTGAAAAGAAAAATGATAATGTAATATAATAAAGATTATGTACTTCATCATAGGATTCTTATAAAGAAGTGTAGGGAAAAGACAAATTTCAAAAAGCAAAGTTTAATCATACTTATTTAGCAAGACTTTTCACAAGAATTGAGTATAAATTCAATCTCTCTATTTCAGTGAACTTCAAACCTTGTTTCAAATTATCCTTTCCAAGTTTCAATAATATGCCAAATAGGACCACCAGTAAACTTTTATTGGTTAAGAATATCAATCCAAGATTTTTAGTAAGTTAAAATGGAGGAACTAAAAATAGGTAAATGAAAATGTTGTAACATTTTAGTGCTATTTATGAGTATGAGCAAAGGAATTTAATCAGTTTGAACCCCAGTTACAGATGAATCTTTTATTTCACGGGTGCTGGGTATGTGGTCTTTTTACGACAAAAATTCTACAGTATGGTTTCACTATCTAAGTCTGACTGAGTGGGTCGCATCTCTGTGTGCCACACAGAACTTTTAGACGATGAGAGCAGTGGGGAAAAGGTTCTGCAATTCCTGACAATGAAGTACTCACACAGTAAATCCTTAACAAAAACTACTGAACTGTGAGTATATGCCTCATAATCTTATGCACAGAAATGTATCTATTAGTACAGAAAGTTGGAAAACATCAAGATGAAAAAGAGTGCTGTAGGAAAAATTCACAACAGGAAACAAATTTTGCTCACTTATTTTCCTACAAATCTTCAGTTTATTAATTCAAGAGAAACTATATTAGGAATATTAGGCTGATACCTCTATTTCACCACCTCATCTAAGCTACACTGTATTATACCAAGAATGGTGGTGGTATTTTCCCCATCTATACAGGCACTGCCATCTAGTGGCAAGTTTTCACCAGCAATTTTAAAAGATAGTGGCCCAACTCTGGTAACAAATAGTAGACACTGATGGTTTGTCAAATAAGGAAATGCATTTATTTGATACACAAATTCCATGCCACCAGTCAAACTATGGTCTGGCTCGTTTTTTTTTTTTTTTTTTTTTTAATCAACAGTAAAGAAAAGTTTTTGGGGTTTTTTTGCTTCTTTTTTGAGATGGAGTCTCACCCTTGTCACCCAGGCTGGAGTGCAGTGGCAGGGTCTCGACTCTCTGCAACCTCCACCTCCCAGGTTAAAGCTTCTCTTGCCTCAGCCTTCTGAGTAGCTGAGATTACAGGCGCCCGCCACCACATCTGGTGTGTACAAAAATTAGTGTACAAAAAATACACTGATTTTTGTATTTTTCGTACAGACAGGGTTTCACCATGTTGGCCAGGAGTTCAAGAAAAGTTTTTTAAAAATAATAAACCTCCTAAGTGTTACCCTAACTGTACCTTGCAGTGAATGTGACTTCTCTAGTCACTCCACATTATCCAGTGATGGCAGCTAGATAATAATCCACCAAGGAAAAGTAAAGAATTGCAGACTTCTGGAAGCAATGATGAAATATAATTCTCAGTTGCAGAAAATGATCTGGGTCATTATGCAAATGTATTCCTGCCCATTTTTCTTCCAAGTTGTTGGATGGAGCCCAACACATCCAATAGCATGGGAAGTGGAAGTTAAACTCCTGATGGATAATTTTTATAAAATTATAAAGAAAACAACTAATAACACGTATGAAATTCACATTAAATTTAGAAGTGGATACTAAAGATTAGGACTGTATTTCCTTTGGGGTGCTGCTTGTAGGAAATTACTGAATGACAACTGCTGTCACCTGTGATTTCATAGCCTTTTAGCTGATATTGCTAAAGAGCTTCCCAAACTTTTTCAAGTCATGGCACACACAAGAAATATCTGTACATACACTGGTAAAAAAATGCAAGAGATTCCTCTCAGCTGGATCCCCAAGGGCTAAAGAGAGAAATATTTTACTCACAATCAATGGGAATCTGTGAACTAAAGAGTCAAATGTATGAAAGTCCTCATGGAAAAATGCTGACAAGCACTAAAATCACTGTAAATTCCTTGGAAAGTTCTCAGAATTGCAGAAGTTCAGAAAAATTACTTTGGTCTTTTACATGTCAATATTCAGGAAAGAGGTTCTCTCTCTTACTTAACATTCCTCCAGGGTGTGAGACCCTGGTCAAGGAAAACAATGATTCCTATGTCTTAGTAAGTCAAACCAACATGGCAGGGTCAAGCTGACCTCCCTGGCCACTCAGGGCCAAAGCCATACAGCGGAACAGTGTGTTCTTTAACCTCATAGGACAACTCTCATATGCCTGGGCACTATTTTTAGGTTACTACCTTGGCTGCCCTTCTTCTTTAAAAAAAAAAACAAACAAAAAAAAAACAGCAGAACTTTTCCACAAGTTTCTCTTCCTCAAGTTGGAAAACTGGAGAAATCATGTTTTTAATTTTGCGTTATTTCAGATCACAAATTCAAACACTTTTAAACATTAAGCTTCTGTTCAATCCCCTGGGAAGAGGATTCATTCGGATATTTATGGTTCAAAAGAAGCTGCAATATTGTACTTGGAACACAGAGAACCAGTTATTAACTTCCTACTACTGTTATATAATAAATAATAACAGCTCGGCCCAGGTTACTGTGACCTCTGACAGATCAAGGAAACAGGTTATTTTCTCCTCTTGTGATTATAGCACATTGCAAGACATTTTTTTCCTTTTAATAAACGTCCTGGTACTCTGAGTTTCCCTTTCAATTCATTTAATTTCAACAATCTGTCAAAAACAGCCAATAAACAAATACTGAGTTACATTCTGCTGGGTTTTTTAAAGGCTCTAGATTATGAAAACATCTTGTGTGTCTCCCACCCTGACCACCCTGCGACTTTTCCATATACCACAGGCCACCCATAGACACAAAGCCAGGGGGTGAAGCTGACATGGTCTATTTGGAGCCAGTAGACAGGAGGGCGATGAGTCCTGATGAAGCACTTATGGACAAGATGTAGTTCCTGTAAGAAATTTAATGTTATGGAAAAATGAGTAACTCCAAATTAGTTTTTCGACAAAATAAAGAGCCCATCTCTTTGGAACGTACTGCTTCCTTCCTGACACTTGGTGTAATCATAATGATGTGCAGCCCCATTGTCTGCAAACACAATTTGCAAGACAGACAGAAGACCAAAAAGAAATGGAAAACATTCACAGGAAATGTGTTCCAATTTTAAAAAAACACTTAAGACAGAAACCTAGAACACACGATCACAAAGAATAATCTGAATTCCAATTAACCTTCATGAAAAGAGCTGATCAAAGAACATGGGGAGAAAAGAGATTTGTTTTCCCTTTTCCCCCCTAAGAGCAATGGAAAAATAAGTCTTCCCTGCGAATCAGTGTTTTGCTGCAGTTGGCTTGCAACAGCAAGGAGGTTCTAAAAGTTCAAAGCTACTCCCAGCCTCACAACTGTACAATTTTCAGCAAACCACTCCAGCATTCCCAAAAGGAACACGTTGGAGGGTATCTGGTATTTTATTACATCATAATCACCAATTGTTAAAATCTTGGCTGCACATTCCTGGATAACAACTTTAATAAATTAATAAGAGAAGGCTGATTCTTGCCCAAAAGCTCAATTTAACAGCATCTTGAAACACTATTAAGATACA